CAATTTCCACCAATACCCCCACGTGAGATTGCCTTTAGTTGGAAATGACAAATCTAATCCAGCTTTTAAGCAATGAACCTATAGAAGGAACACAAAAAAAAAACCAAAACCACTGTCATTAATACTACCTTCAGACTTAATCCCAAAAGATTACAAGGGCAGCACAAGTTTCCTATCATCTAAATGATTATGCCTACATAAAAAGATATTCAGTTTACCTTTAATCCAGCTAGCTTTACAGTTCTGCATTATAAAAGCACATGAATTCAAGGGGGTGGGGGAGTATGTGTGACAGGAAGAAGAAGGACAGAAGGGTAAAAATAAGCACATTCACTAGTTCTGCAAGAGAAACACAACATAATACATGGAACTGAAAAGTAATTGTAATAAACATCGTGATCCAAGAGAAAAGTTTAATATTACAGTAAATACAAAACCACAGAAAAGCTGCAATACAAGTCTGAGACTATATGCAATGTACAGTACTGATCCACAGCATCTGAGAAACACACCTGTTTGGATGATTCAGATGTGAAACTGGGATGGGTTAGGAGAACATCCATATCGCCACTTGACTCTGCACCTAGGCAAGAAAGAAGCGAAGAAAAACCCTTCTGTGTGTGGCGAAGTATACTAATGGTGGTAAACATATGCCTTACCTCTTCCTGTAAACACATTTTTCTAGCAGAAAATGGTCACTATTGGAAATAATACCAAAACAGAACAACTTAAAGCAAAAGAATCTTGTTTTTTCATCAAAAAGTTTATATTCCACATAGCTAAGAAAATATCCAAAATTTTCTTGCTGTACTCTGTAGCAATGAAGCACAGATGTTGTTAATTCAAAAACAAAGCAAATCACATTACAACACCCTACTCTTTATGGGGTAAGGGTGGAGAAGCAAGGATTTATGTGGGTGTCTCATCACTGAACTAGCTAGTCAAAACAATATTAACAGGAAAGGCTAGGTTCCAGCACAGACTCTGCCAAGAAGAACAATATACATAGTTACTCGCCTTGTTTACTCTAGCCCAAAATAAAGATAACAAGATCACAGAGTACCAACCTCGCCTAAAACTGCCACAGACTGTAGCAATATAGTTTGCATCCAGCTTCTTTATCTCTTTCAGCACAATTTCCTATGCAAAAAGGAAACAAGCGTGTTTAGAGGTGTCAGTCATTCACTGGCCATTAGTACCTCACATTCTTAAAGCGATTCTTACCTGCATTTGCAGCATTTCTTCCCTTGGGATTCTTTTCTCAAAATCTTCGAAGTATCTGCAAATATAAAAATAGAAGTATCTGAAAGAGTGGCAGGGGCAGCATCTTAAAATTTTAGTCAATTAAATGTTTATCAGAGGTAAGAGTACTAACTTACACTACTGTCACATCACAACAAGCTCCTGAGTCTCATCAAACATCTTAGAAAACATCTTGCAAGGTGACAGTAAAAACTCACAACTGCGAGTCTAACAATGCTCAGAACATGGTTTCAGTATTTCCACTGTATACAAAGAGCTGCTATGAGGTGCGAGTATTGTCGTATAACCAATTGGTTAATATTTACATAGCTCTCTGAAAATACAAAAGGCTCCTGACAAATTTCAGCCCTCCAGCAAGCAGGAGGAACAGGTCCCTTGCCCATCTCCTTGTCAGAGATGATCTATGTTGGAAGGAGCTAAATGGAAGCTCACAACTCAAATACATCTCCAGATATATTTGGCTTCCACTGTAAAATTCAGATTGTCATAATGTTGCTTGACTGTGGAGCAAAAGAGGGCAAGTGAAATACCATTTTGCTTTATTTGGTTCACTTGCAGCTTCAGACAAACACAGCTACAGCTCTTCCAGAACCACCACACCAAACAGACACTCAACAAGCAGCAGTCAAGCTGATGAATACAGAGGGATAAACACACATTCCGTGCAGCATTCTCAAGTTCAGATATTCAAAGGTCTTACCTTGTTCACAGCACATTAAAAAAAAAAGCCTGGGCCACTTCTCTGCAGATTGTGAAGAAACAACACCATAACCTCACTAAAGTGATTCTCCATGAGCTAACTGAGGAAGTCACTTGATATTAACTTCCCTATGAATGCAGACTAAGAATTCAAACCCCAATGAAACAAGAGCTCTAAAAAACTGCTGAAAAGCATGGAGAGCATAGGGAGAAGAGAATCTTACTCAGCCTGTGTAACCTGACATTACATCCTGGTGTCTGAAGGAGTCATCAAAAACACCGAGCACTTGTACCCGAGAAAGCTTACTTCAGCCCAATTCGCTGGTGATGGGTCAGCTTGTGTTCAATTTTTCTTAGATCTAGAAAAGAATATCCAAACAAAATAGTTAACTGAGGACTAAAAATCTTACAGTAAGTTTCTACCAATGCAAAGATGACACATGTATAGGATACAGAATGAGAATATAACCTCGAAGGAGGGAATTTCAAACTACATGCATAACAGCTGATAGAAGAACCACAAATGCACAGAGCACTTCTGATAAAAACTTAACAGACCACCAAAGAGCCAAAATCCTTGTTACCATCCACGTAACCTGCATATACTTTACTTTGGATATGTGTGAAATGCCTTAAGCCTGTGTACTAGCTTTATAATCTTATACACCTTTCTCAAAGCCTAGGGCATATATGCCACCACAGTACCACTGTAGAAAAGACAGCTTGACAGAAAAAAAGATTACTGGAATGTGAATCGAGGTCCCATATTTACACTTACCTTCTAAAGTCTTAATTCCTTCCTCGACAAACTTCCTAGCAGCAGCAGGACTGCAAAGAGACAAGGCAACCTGGCATCAGAAACAATAAGAATCTTACAGCACTGAACAGGACATTCAAATTATTTATAACTGTCTAGGTTTTTATAGGCCAAGACTGAAGCAGCTTGTGACGCTTACATCTTTCCAGCATACGCATTTTCAGTTTATGCTTTTGGTCAGCAGAGATCCAAAGGTTGGCCTGCACATTTTTTAGCACTGATAAAACTATATGCTGATGTATAATTGTAAAAAATTAAATAAATCACACCAAACAGGCAATATTGCTTCACACAATAATACCAAATGCATGGTAACACTGCAGCAGTGTTCTGATGGGCTTTTTGTTTGCTTGTTTTTGTTTTGTTGCGTGCTTCAAGGCTCTGCTTCTCCTTTTACAAAAACCCCAAGGCCAGAGTCTCACTTCCACTTTTGTCAGACTTTCACAGTTCCATTCTTGACCTGCATCTCTCTCCTTCCCCTCTCAGCTTGCACACAGGAGCGTCCCACTTCCACTCCTGTACCACAAAGTCCATAGTTCATGATTCTATATTCTTTTGTCTCATTCGATCCTGTAATTACGACTACGGTGTATCAGTGTAGACATTACATCAAGAGCTCAGGCTCATTCTCTTCATTATGCGCAATCACCCACATACTGGTCCTAAGTCTATCAAATGAACAGGAGAAGGGAAAAAAAACCAACCAAAAAAAGCCCAAGAAACTTTTACCCAATGCCAGTGACTCGTGTCAGGAGATTGATGGAAGCACTTGTATCATCTTGTCGAATCTACAAAAACAAAGCAATGCAACCCAAATCCTTCTTTACTCCATTTGCAATAAACAAACAAAAAAGAAGCCTTGAGAAGACAAAACAGCTTAGTCAGACTCTGGTTTGAAGGTTCACTATAAGTCACTGCAAAATAATACCAAGGGTAGTATGGCATATAATAATAATGCCACACATAACTAGCTTGAAAACCGCCCAACTAGCAAACAGCAGGCCTAAAGCATGAAACTCATCAGCCTTCCAGTAACAGAATTCCACTTCTGACAGAAGACCTGCGCATGCTGATTATGTAAGCTAAAATATTTTCAGAACTAGACAGTTTTCTGTCTTTGGCTAAGCCTCTCAATCCTTGATTTCTATTTACCATACACTCTTGTGTTCACCACTCCTAAGACTCTCTAGGGACAACAACAGAATTGTGCAAAGCAAGCAGGCTACTTTGCAAGTCATTGAGAAAAACAACTATTGAGAAACACAAAACAAGAGAAAGAAACCCACCTTTTCCAACTTGCGTAGTTTTCCAGTGGACAAGAACTCATCTATCTTTTCAGCTATTTTAGCACCTACTCCATCCTAAATATTGGAGGGTGAATACAAACAAGTTAATTTCAATGACTTAAAGTCATTCTGTGTGGGAAGCGAGGAAAACTCCCTACAATTTAGAGTCCAGAAAGAACTATGGGACACCTAAGACTACAGTAAAATATTGGACCATAAAAGAGCACAAGAATTCAAGGGTACAATATAAACGGCATAAACACTGTAACACAAGGGCTGCATCAAGTTTCCCCGAAGGAGGAAGTTTGAACAAGGCTTTGATTCTTACTGCTCAAGATCTCTAAATTAACAAAGGAGTAAGAGAGCAAAGGGGAAAGATATTTTTACAGGCCGAGACTGAGACGGCATGCCCAGTTCCAGCTCTGACACCCCCCACAGTGGCCACACCTTGTCCCCGTCCCCGAACTCCGACTCGGATACCGGAAAGAGGCGCTGGTAGAAGCGGGGCTGCACCCACGCTTCCCAGGAACCTCCGGCACCTCGTCCCCGCTCCGGCTGTCCCAGATTCTCCCGCCGGCCACCCGGGCACGAGCACCTACCAGCTTTTTGGCTTCCGCCCCGCTCTGTATCTTGCTCGGATACCGAGAAATGACCGAGGCCGCTTTCCTGCGGAACAGCGTGGGTCAGCGCCCGAATGGGCCGGGGCCCGGGACGGCGGCGCGGCGGGAGGGAGGCGGTTACCTGTACGCGTTGTACTTGTGGATGGCCCGGTTCACGTTGCGCTCGTAGTTGGCCAGCTCTGCAAGAGAACCGCGGTGAGAGCAGCCGTGCCGCGGCCCTGCCCACCCACGGAACCGACAGAGCGCACACACCTACCGGTGAGGAAATCGGTGATGCCCTCGTTGGGGCTCTCCTGGGGAGCTTTCCGCTTGCTCATGGCCGGCACCAGCTCCGAGCGCCCGCGGGAGCTTCGGGCAGCGATCGCAGGGAGGCGCTTCCGGCAGTGGCGTCACGGCGCGTCCGGTCTCGGTCCGGGCGGGGCCGCAGATGCCGGAGAAGAGCGGCAGGAAGTCGGTGTGCCGTGTTACAGGCCCTCCGCACGGCTTGACGTCATCGTAGCTCCTCTTACCCGAGTGTCATAGGCTTCGGGTGTCACCACCCGCGTCTCGAATATCCGTATTTGCCGACCCAGCCCCGCCTCACAATCCTCTTTTCACGCACAGCACACGTGTGTCTGCCTCACATATCTGAGATTTTTGGCCAGTCTGCTTTAGCGGCACTGTTCCAGGCTGTATCGGCAGCTGTGGTGTTATAAATGAAATTAGAATTTTGACAACTAAGTCCCTTGAGTTAATAACAGTTCAATTAAAAATTAATAAATTTAGTAAATTGAATAGTAATTTGGTATAAAACAATACAGTTTAGTAAAAATTACAATTTATATATATAATGTGCCAGTAATTAAGTATGATTAAAGCATAAGCAAAACCGACTGGGTTATGGGGAGGGCTTGTTACCCCACCACCTCACGTACAAAACCAACCCGGGTACGGAGGCTTCCCACCCTGCCTCACGTACAAAACAAAGCACTTTAAGCTAAACTTATATACTGCGCACTTATACGTATTCATTAATGTTTCCCATAAATTTCCTATTTCCGGCGTTTCCGATTTTACGCCACTATTCTTCACGGCGCATGCTTCACTCGTTGTTAGAGGGTCTTCAATCTTCTTTCCGTGGTCTTTTGGCAAAGGCTTCTCCTCTTCCTCGTCGTCCTTTGGATAACCTTACAGGTTTGCGCATGCGTACTAAGCGTTGTGTTATGTAAGTCCACCAATCAGTCCCACATTTACTGATCTTTATGCCCAATGCCTAAAGTCGCTCCAACCTTGTCCATCCCAAGGCCACCCTCGTCCCGGGACATCACCCATCCTCCAAACTACATCCTGTACCTCAATCCCAACATGCAACATCTGTAAAGGGGTGCATCCGCCCTGTCATTTGATTGCTTCCAATAACAACTTTAATAACAGTTACAATTTAGGTAGCACAAATCAATTACATTTATTACATGTGGTATAATACCAAAGTAACCCAGTTTCAAAATACTAGACTACCGAGTTCCAAAATACCAAAATAATCCAGTTTTACAATACCAGAATATCATGTTTCAAAATACAGCCGCACAACCGGTTTGTAAAACCAACACTTCCTCCTCTTCCTCTTCCCCAGTAATCAATGGGTCAGCTTTCCAGGGCTTTGAGCACTCCCAGCTGCACCCACCCAATGGAAACGGTTTAAGATAATGTTATTTAAGGATAATTTGGAGAAAAAGCATTTCTACACAGGAACTCACACAGATCCCATTGGCTGCCCACATCTATTCCTCTCAGTGTTAGCGTTCAGGAACACACATAATCACATATTGATTATATGTAGGTGCTTTATTGAAGCGCACAGAAACCAGGGATATCAGCAACCCAAATCTAGCTCCATCGTCTTTGTCCAAAATGCACATATTTATACAATTTCAGCTGTAGCAGTAATCACTATAACAACCTCATCAATATTTCTTCATTAATATTGCTTCATTAACTTTATCTGTATTGCTTCATGAGAGTTAGCTCATCCTTGTACAAACATGTACGAACCTTATCCCTGGGTGGGTATCTTTGAGACCCCCAAGTACCAGTTCCCGTTACCATAAACATTTCAGCTTGCTAGACCATCCCTAATATCAAGCATTATTGTGGCCTACTTCTACGTGATTTTAAGAAACATTTTCAGAAACATCTAATCCCAATAGTAACGTATTTCCCCCCTTTGAAAGTATTTCACTTTACTATCATAAGTGTAATGCTTTCACTGTATACAGTCCTTTTCTTCTGAGTTTATACCTGATGTTCATCTTTGAATCCACAGTTGTCGTAAGCGTTGTTACACTCTGGAGGACTCGGAGATGACAAATGTGGATGTGGATCTCTGTCCCGTGTCAGTGCCTTTATTATCTTCTTGTTCCAGGATACTCTTTTCTTTATCTCTCCTTTCAGAACTGCATAGATTAACCAGATTGCTAAGAACACAATCAGTAGGATTATCAGACTCTCAGTAATAGATTTGATCCATGAGCTTACATTCCATCCTTCTTGCAGTATAAATGGTCCCAAGAACCACCAACACCCCTTTCCATCTCCCCCAAGTCTCACCCAAATTCTCTCCAAGCCACACAGCTCGGCCACTACCTCCAAAACCCCCTCACAGACTGCCACAGAAGCCTTCCAATCCCCCTCCCTGCACCACAAATGGCCCCAAGAGCCACAAAAGCCTCTCCCAGCTCCCCCAGGATTCCCCCAAACCCCCTCCCAGCCCCGCATGGCACAGAGCAGAAGAGGCTGGTGGACAGGAATATCCCCAGCCAGGAACAGCTGCACTTCAGCAGCGATTTGGGCCCTTTGCAGGGCACATCCCAAAAGGTGAAAACCCAGGCCAGGGACTGGGACAGACAAACAGAATTCCTGGAGAACAGATGGGCTCAGGTGGACACATTCTGCCAGCACAAGTATGAGATTGCGGCCCCATCTGCCCGGCCTGGGCAACCCCACAATGCCCAATCCTCCCAAAAAATTCTGTGAACTAACCCCAAATTCACCCCCAAATCCCGGTAAAATGGTGCCGCTTTAGATCCCTTTACTTAATTTATTTTTACCCCGGTTCTGGACGTTTCAATGCGATAAAGATGGAAATTATTCAGGTAGGAAAACATCTCCAAGATCATCCAGCACCGCTTGATGCCACCAGAAGAAACAATTGGACAGAGCACACAAGATCTTTTTAAGGCGTAAAGCTAAGAAATCAGATCTTAATGAATTTCTAATGTTGATTTGACTACTGATGGATGTTCGTGCCCTTGTGTTCATCCAACCCTAATGTTTGCCTCTGGGAAACCAGGAGAAAGTGGAGACCACTGGCCAGGTGTCTTCCCAATGTGGGTCACCGGGAATGTGAGCCACCAGGGCTCTGCCCAGTGTAGGAGATAGAGTTGGAGCAGCGCATGAAGCTCTTCCTGTAGTCATGGCGTTCTCAAGGCTTCCCTTACCGGTGGCTCCGTTGGTGATGGGTCAAGGATGAGCTCCAGGAGAAGCTCTTCCCACACTGGGGACACTCGTAGGGCCTCTCCCCAGTGTGGATGCGCCGGTGGGCGGTGAGGTTGGAGTTGTGCTTGAAGCCCTTCCTGCAGTCAGGGCAGCGGAAGGGCCTCTCATCCGTGTGAATCCGTTCATGTATAAGGAGATCTGAGCTGGTGTGAAACCTCTTCCCACACTCCGGACACTCGTAGGGCCGCTCCCCAGTGTGGATCTTCTGATGGGAGGTCAGGTGGGAGCTCTGGCTGAAGCTCTTCCCACATTCCAAGCACTCATAGGGCCTCTTCCCAGTGTGGATCCTCTGGTGGACAATCAGGCTGGAGCTCTGGATGAAGCTCTTCCCACATTCACCACACTCAAAGGGCCTCTCCCCAGTGTGGATCCTCTGGTGGCGGATCAGGTAGGAGCTCTGCCTGAAGCTCTTCCCACATTCGCCACACTCAAAGGGCCTCTCCCCAGTGTGGATCCTCTGGTGGCGGATCAGGTGGGAGCTGTCTCTTAAGCCCTTGCCGCATTCCACACACTCATAGGGCCAATCCCCAGTGTGGATCATCTGGTGGCGGATCAGGTGGGAGCTGTCTCTGAAGCTCTTCCCACACTCAGGACACCCACAGGGCTTCTCCCCGGTGTGGATCATCTGGTGGCGGATCAGGTGGAAGTTCCGCCCGAAGCTCTTCCCACATTCCAAACACTTGTGAGACTTCTCCCCATCCTGAAGCTGCTCATGGACCACCAGACCGGTGCTCCGGCCACCTTCCTGGTACAGGGTGGGTCTTTCCTCCTCAGAGCACCCCAGGCTGGGGTTGGAGCCCATCCTCCTGTGGGACCTCCGGGGCTTTTCCTCCCCCTCGGATTCCTGCGCCGTGGAGCCACTCAAAACGGCCTCTTCCACGAGGTTCTGCTGTGGGGATTTGTCCTCCCTGGTCTCCATCTTCAGCTCCTTGTCTGGGGGAGGAAGGACAAGGAGAGGATGGGATGTGCCTCTGTGCCAGAGGGAAAAAGGAAGGAGATACACCCACCCGCCATCCCCGGCAGGACAGTGTCGGCAGCGGGGTCATCCTGCAGCCAGGGCCGTGCTGGACTGGGAGATGGAGCAGGAGAGCCTCATACCGAGAGTGACCGGAATTAGACTGCAAGTGACTGGCATCATACTGGGACCGGCCATAATCATATGGGGATTATAGTGGGTGTGATTGGACCTTGACTGGGGATTACTGGCAGCTCCCAGGCCCATGCTGGGAGCCAACTGCATATAGACTGGGAGCAACTAGAAATGACAGGTTGCATGCTGGTGACAACTGGCATGTACTGGGAGTGACTGGGACAATACTGGGGGCAACTGAACCATGCTGAGGTAGCTGGGAGTGCCTGGCTATGACTATAAGAATGCTCAGAGCAGCTGGGATACACGGGGAGCATCTGAGACCGTGCAGGTGGTGACTGGGACCACACTGGGTGCAACTGGGAAGGTGCTGGGGGGAACTGGGACTACACTTGGAGCAACTAGGGGCAGGTGTGAGTGACTGGGACCCTGCTGGGAGATACTGACATCATACTGGGAGTGACTGTGACTACACTAGGGGCAGTATGCTGGGAGAACTGGAAGCACACTGGACAAAAGCTGAAGTAACTGAGAGCAACTGGGACCGTACTGCGGGAAAATTGCATCATAATAGGGAATGACTGGGAGTGACTGGGCTCATGCTGGCAGGACCTGAGATCCTTTCAGGTGGCAAGGGGAAGTCATCAGCATCGTACTGGGACTGACTGGGCTCATACAGGGTGTGCAGAGGAGGAAACTGGAACGCCCACGGAGGGAGGACCTGGGCTCATCCTGTGGCAGCGACTGCCGGCACCGGGAGCCCCGAACCCCTTTCCCGGCCATTCCGCCCCTCCAGCCCCAGCAGCCCCCCGCCGGGGTCCCGGGAATCCCAGGGGTCCCCCCGCCCTCGGGATCCCCGCTTTGGGGCTCTGCTCTCTCTGGGGTCCCGCTCAGGGAAGCCGCGGCTCTCCCGGGGCTCCCCAAAACCACTCTCCCCACGTGGCGCCGCAGAGCTCGGGGGGGCCCGGCCCGGGAAGCCCAACCCCCACCGCGGGGGGACCCGCATCCCCCCGGCCCCGCCACCGGGACCCCCCAGAAACACCTCCCGGGGACCCCCGATCTCCCCCCGAGGGGCATCTGCGGCTCGGCTGCGGAGCCCTGCGATCTCCACACATCTCCCTCCAAAAGCCCCAAACCCAGGGACCCCCGGAGTATTTGGGGCGAGCTTCCCCTCCCCGGGCACCTGCGGGATGGCGGGCGATGATCCCGGGGGGGCTGCGAGTTCAGGCGGCACCGGAGCCGTGCGGATCCCTCCTCTCCTCTTTTCCTCCGTGATCCTATTGCTGCTCCGCCTCTTCCTTCCCTCATCCTCCTCCTCCTCGGTTCCCGAAGTCCTCGCGGCCCTCGGGAGAAGCGGGGATGGAGCCGGGACAGGTCGGGATGGGCGGCGCGGGGATCTCTCGGCTGCTCCCACCCGCTGGGGGCGGGGGAACCCAGCCCGGGGAAAAGGAGAGGGAAGCTGGGAAAAGTGGGGGTTGCAGGTCCAAACTGGGGCCCCTGCGGGGTCCCGAGTGGAGCTTTCAACTTTCCCCTTTTACCTTGTCGCACCCTCTCCTGAGCCCCAGAAAAGGGAGGCGTATTTCGAAAAACAGGGGTTTAAACTGAGGGACGAAGCTTCCTTTTCCATAATTGCCCGTGTTCAAACTGAAGAGAAATCCGCTTCCCCTGCAATTTTGACGGTCTCAATTGGAGGTAAGTCTACCTTTCCCGTGCTGTTAGGGGTATTAAATGATAGGGAATCCCCATTTTCCATTATTTTCCACTTTAAGTGGAAGGGCAAACCCTTGATGATGCTTATTTATAGGTCTGAATTAAGGGAAAAATTCCTCCTTTTCCCTCACTGGAGAGATTGATAGTGAGGAAAACCACTCTTTCCCCAATATTTTTAGGGGGTTAAATTAAAGAGGAGAAACCCTTTATTTGCCACTGAATCGGTTTAAGTGGAGTTAATTAGTTTAAGAAAAACCCTATTTGCTTATTTTAAAGGGTTCAGTTGAAGGAAGTTCTGCTTCTTTCAGCATTTCAAGGGTTTAAAGCTGCATTTCAGGGCACTTCTATCCATGCCCTGGCACTAAATATTTCCAACGGGAGCGAGCCCAGTACGTACGTAATGCTAATGCCACCCAGAAGTCTATTATTTTTCTTATTTTCATTTATAATTCAGAGAGCCCTGATTAGAGGTCCCAATGAGACTTACACCATTCATGTCACTAGTATTCTTCTCCACCCTAATCAATCACATGGGGAGTGCTACTTAGTAATCACTAAGGAATAATTATGCAAGTCCACAAACTATCCAACTTATCTAGCTACACTGCCAAAACACAAGGTTTTGCTTCTTACTGGCTTTTTACTCCGTTGCTCTAAATAGTTGTAGCAAAAAAAGAAAACGTTGGCCTTTTCCTGAAGAGTTTTCTTCTGCATGGAACCCCTTACTCACCTCAAATTTAAGTCAGAGGAGCAAAACAGCTGCAGCTCCTCTGAGGGCTTTTATACCTGGTGGGATTTGCCGCCTCCCTTTTCCCAGGCATCGTGGGAAAAAGAGGCAGGCTCAATCAGGGGTATATTAAACCCCGGGTGTGCTAAGGGTCATTATTCCCTCCTAGGGAATCAGCTGGGATAAAGAGCTGTTCTCTGATTTCAGTGAAGAGAATCTTTTGGCTTACTTAAGCCTGCTCTCAGCAGGTACTTTTTGGGTACCTAAAGTAACAGAGGCTTTGAAGACAGCTTGAAGAAAATAGTATTAAACACAGGGAGCGTATTTAAGTTCATGATTTTGGATTGTGGGTTTTAGGGTCATAAGGTGCTTTTGTAATGACTTTTCTTCTTGGGTTTTTAAGGGTGATTGCAATGTCCTCAGGATTTAGATCAAGTAGGATACTTCAGATTCTCTCAGCAGATTCATCACGTCACAAAAGGAACCAGCCCCTGTGGCAGCTTTCCCCAGCACCCGATCACTCTCCTGCATGGATTTGCATCAGAGAGATAAGTCAAGGGCTGTGATTGCAGAGGGGATCAAAGCAGGGCGGTGGGTTAGGACACACAGCAGTTAGGGGTTTTGCGTCAGCTGTGGGGAGGAGGAGGTTCAAGAAGCAGCCCCTTAGGTCACACTGAGGGAAAGCCTCACTTTGGCTCACAGTGTTGAGGTATGCAGGGCAGAGCAGTCCTAGGGTGTGTTGTGTCACTTGTCTGTTGTGCTTTCTGTGCCTGCTGTCCATCTTATGTTGTATGTCTCTTGCCTTAGCCCTTCTAGGGGCTTATCGGAAACCTCAGTGTCATTCTTAGCATCTCCCCGTTCCTTGGCCCAGTGCCAACACCATCAAACCTTTGATTTGAGAGCGCAGACACGCATCGGAATGGCCTTTCTCTTTAGAAGCATGAGTTGGGTGTCTTCTTAGGTCTTGTTCTGAGCTGTATCAACAGCTATATGCAGCAATGTTTCTTTACAGTGGATAAGGACTTGTACCGATTCAAAGGCAGGCAGAGGATTCCAGCCACAGGATTCTCAGGCATCTATCTCTGCGGTTCTTGGAACAAGTTGTACCGTTAGCATCTTTTTCCTCCAGGGTTGTCTGAGCCTGGCAGGCTCGCCTTCGGTCCCTCCTCGGTCATCTCGTTCAGCATTCTCTTGGTCTTCGTGAAGACTCACTTGTCTCAGAGAGATCTCTCCCTATTGTGCCCCCTCATCTTCTGTCTCACGCTTCATGGGTGTCTGGATTTGGTCAGGAGCTGCTCTGCTCTGCTGCCTAGCCAGGTTGTAGGTGTTTAAGGACAAATCCTGGGCGCTTGTAATTGGAAATTTGTAATACGGGCTGTAGTTGGAGTCCAGGTGGTATTCTTATGTTGACACAAGTTGTCTGGAGCTGTAAAGTTACCCTGCAGCACTTTGACGTTTATCTTTCTTTCAGATGCAGATGGATTAAACCTCGTGGCAGAGCGCCCCATCCCAGATGAGGGGGTTCCCCTGAGAAGGTCAGTCAAGGTTTTTCTTTGCAGCAGAGCTGCAAATGGTCACCGTGTTACAGCTCTGTTCTTTATTTTTAGGAAGTAAAGCTGGATAGGAGCAGTCATGTTGAAGCAGGCAAGGTGAGCATTGATAGGTAGACAGATGCAATTGTGCTTGCTGGGGTCTCAGTTTCTGGTGTAACTGTAATCTCTTGTTGTTTTATTTTAGGTGGTCTACTTGTAAGATGTCTGTCATGGAGTTACTTTACCTTTAAGAAAGTTTAAGTTGCTGGGAACTGCCTGGAGTCTTTTCTCCTGACCAATTATCGGTCATTGCTGAGAATTGACAGCAGTTTAGGCCATTGAAAAGTGGGATCAACTTGTGAACCCTACCTTAAAGTGTAAAACCAGAGCTCTCTTGGTTCTCTTTGTTTCCTGGCTGGGAAGGGTGGCAGAGCTCCAGGCCTCCCGTTCCCTGCCCAGGCCATGCGGCCGGGCGGGGACTGGGCTGGGCCCAGCGTCTCCCGGCCGGGGGATGCGGGCCCTGCGGAAGGTTTTCTCCGGGCTCTGGCCGGGCTGGGCCGAGCCGATCTCTGGCTCAGCTGCAGGTTTTTTGCTGTAACTAAATTCACTAGAAACTGCTGAGTGAAGAAAGAGAGAGGCTCTAGACCTGCAGCGGGCTGGGC